GTGTTCCTGCACACATACCTTGAAAGAACCTTAGGATGGGATTGGAACTGGATATATTCTCAACTCAAGGCATAAACGTGAACATGTATGTAGGCATGTATATAGGAATAGTTATATATGTGTATGTATGGACTTGCATATACAAAATCCCTTATCCATGAGGCATATGCCTTAAGATCCTCCAGTGTACAACTAAAGTCAAGGATAATACTGAACTCTGTATTTCTGTTTGTCCTATACATACATTTCAATGATAGTTTAATTTATAAATTAAGACACATTGTAAGAGGTTAATAATCATAACAATATACTATAGTAAGTTATTTAAAACTTTGAATTTTTCATTTTTAGAATTTTCCATATAAAATTTCTAGTCTAAGACCCTTGGCAATTGAAACCATGCAAAAGAAAGGTACTATTAAGGATGTGGTGTGGAGATATGTGTATGTTTTGTCTGCTCAATGTGCCTAGTAATAGTGATGCCTCAGGATCCAGAAGAGCCCAGGCCTTTCTCTCTGAATGCTTTCTTCCAGAAACAGATGCCTCTGACTCTGGAGACAGGGATGAGACAAGGAGAGTCCAGAATGAATCTGGAATGTCTGGTTTTGCAGGATGCATGGAAATGGCCAGAAATGACCAGGAATCAAAGGATGAGGGGAAGGCTCAAAGGGTGCTCTGAAGGTCAAACCTGAAGCAACAGGAGACTCCATGTAATGACAGCAACTAAAGTCGACGAACTGTTCAACATCTAACATGAATATACAAGGAATAACAGAGTAGAAAACCAGTCTTTCCTGACACTTGTCATCTGTCAAGTGCAGGTCCAGGCCAGCAAATGGATGTCAGAGGAGGAGCAAGATTTATCATAACAGTAGAATTTCCCCCGGAGGGAAAAAAAACAAGTATTAATGGAGAAATAGCGACTTCCAGGTGGAGACACTGAACAGACACTAACTTGACCAAGTGACTGAGGTGAACATCACCAGTGCTTTTCCCACCCAGACTGGACGTGTGGGCTATCATCAGCCTGACTAGGCTGTGGGCATTCTTGCAGAGAAAGACTCTGAAAGTTAATAGAGATTTGGGAAAAGATTGATAAGACTTGATAACAAAATATTCTATATAATTCTGTAATTCAGACCCAGAAAAAAGACAACATTGGGGCAGTTTGCAAAATACGCTAGATATGAGACTTAGATGACAGTGACATAAGGGAGTGTCCTCCATAGGTTTTTGTCAGAAAACACACAATAGTTATAGAAGCTTCCCTAAAAACTTTCCAATAAACTTTGATAAAAGCATGGCAATAAGATACTTCTATCGAATGTTAACCTGCTATGAAACACACTTGTTCTGCAGCTGCATTCACTTATGCCCTACACAATGGCAGCTTCTGTTTTTCTCTCAGTGCATTTTCATCAGTTTAAATGTACACATATTAACTATGTGCCTGGCCCTATTTTACGGAGTTCGTGAACAATGAACTTCTTCATCTTCATAAAAGCCTAAGGAGTCATTGATATTGTCACTGTGCTCCACTTCTCAGGTAAGCTTTACAGAGATTTCACAGCATTCCAAACATACACAACCAGTGTGCTGCCGAAGCAGAACTCAGTCCTAAGTAGCTCATCCCCCATGTTTTTGCTTACTACCAGACAAGTCGGGATGCTAAGCCATACACTTAATGGAACTAGATAATTATTTGTTGATTAAATGAACAGTATTATCTCTTGGGATTATTGGAAGCATCAAGCAAATCACTAAATTGCTTTGTACCTTAACTTTCTGTTTCATAACAAAATAATCGAAATTTTTTTAAGATCAATTAGAGCACAGAGAATTTATCTAACTGCTATGGCTTTTATGCCTTTAAAACAGTCTTGATAATGTATATTGAAGGCTGGTGGTTTAAGTAGGTGATGAATGAGATTTACAACAGTTCATGATAGACAATCAAGTCTTTTACAGCCTGAGAACATGGCACACAATGATAAAACTTGCTTTCCTTCTATGTGAACTTTAGCTCTGTCTTTGACCTCATGTAGCTCAGTGAATTAGAATTTGTCTATAGGAAACAAGAGTCAAAATAAATGAAATGTTATGCAAGGCTTAGACTGTCTCTTTAAAAACTTAGATGTTCCAAATATGTTTTCCTTTTGCATTGCTGTATTTCTGATATCAAAATCACCACAACCCAGTTAATAAGAAAATTGCATTGTGTTCCCAGGATCCTTAATCCCTCGCTGCCAACTTCCTTCTCTATTTAGACCTTGTAAATTCCGATTTGTCTCTCATTATTAATAAACATGGCACAGAAATAAATTCAAAATAAGATCTGTTACTGTTTACAGTTAGGGAAATTAGATGGTCCAAGAACCCCTGTCATGTGGCTTTAAGTCTCAGATCCTCTCTCTACCTCAGTCTCCTCGGCAAAAGGAGACTGTAGTGCCTTGGGTTCACAAAGCTCCAGGGCAGTTGTGAGGGTTAGACAAGCTGGGGAAACTGCTTTGTAAACAATACCCTGCTTTTGAAGAAATTAATTTCAAAGATTACTTCCAAAATGCCCCAAAGACAGACATTTACTTTTGTGTCATAGCTATGTGTAAAATTATCCGTGTGTACCCTTAGCCTGGATTTCAGCACTGAAAACACTGATAGCTTCAGGATTTAAATGCTCAGTAATGTGTGATTTCAGTTGCAAACTGAATTACTGAAGAAGGGAAAAGAATATTGTTCTCCAGAAGCCTTGTGACCACGGGCCTATACAGATGAGCTGCTAAGGCCTATGGAGGTGGTTCTTAGTTTTTCAAATAGAAGTATGACACTGGGACTGATCCAGACAGCCATTCTATTATCCATAAGTATTTATTGAAGACTGATGAATTGTGTGGTTTGGGTGAAAGATGAAGGGAACATAAGGTTGCTGTGTTGCTGTGAATAAACCAAAGACAAAGTTGTTGGCAAGTCGGACAAATGGATAGAGAAGAGCATCCAGGTAACCGACAGTTGAACGCAGCTGCAGAACCCGCAAAGGTTTTCTAACGTTCTCCTTTGTGCTTTTAAACCTTGGAAGATAAATTAGGGCCCAGTGAGGTGCACACAGGAGGTAATGAAGGCTGTCGGGAGTGGCAGTTCCTCCAACCTATTCAACTGGGATCTTTCTATGATCACAGAATGCACACCTTGACCTAACCAACCATCTGGCACCATGTGGTCAGTCCTCCTAGTGGATCTTGGAAGCAGCGTTTTCAGAGTGAAAAGGCGCATATTACTTCTGCTACAAAAACAAAACAAAAGAAAACACAGTGTGCTCGACCCTCTGTGGTCAGCATCATTTTCACATGCCAAGACCAGATTATTATAGGAACATAGACTGAGAACGTGCAGCTGGATCTTAATAAATCAGAGGAAAGACACCACACTAGACATTCCTGGGAAGCATGCCCTGCCCTTCTGCTCTCCTTTGGGTGAGAGTGCAAGTGCTCTGCTCACCGTGGATCTGCTGCTAAGAATGTCACTGAGAATTACAATTCTCCAAGGATGTGGGTGGCAACAATGGTGACAGGCTGCAGTAACCACCACCTAAAAAGGCCAAGGAAGACTCCAGAGAAATGTGAGCAAAGCTGTATTCCTCGCTCTCAGATCACCTTCCCAAGAGAACCTCAAGTTCCACAGACCAGGCAATAAAGCGAAAGAGTCCATACTTCATCTGGGGTTCGCAGTTGGGGTTGTGGGTTCTAAGAAACATTCCTCAGACCAGTTTCTGAGCTGGGAAGTCAAGCGGGAACCGCGCATTTCCTGCTTCGCTGCGCAAACCTCAGGCAGGGCCAAGCAGCAAGGAGGACTCGGACTTAAGAGTCGCCAGCTGCTAGAGTGGGGTTTAGGGGTTTAGGAGAGGAGCCGCGAGTTAGAGGGATTCGAACAGAGTTACGTGAGATCCCGCCCACTTAGGGTGCACGCTTTCATCCTTGTGGAGAATACGTCCCCGAAGTTAATCTTGGGGGAAACTTTCTCAGCTCCCGTGGCAGAGGTGGGTGTAGCCAAGATTGCCCGGTCTGGCCTGAAGGTCCTGTAAAATCACCGAGGGGTCCTATATCTTTCTTGCCACTCTTTCTTCGCTTTCTCTCCCCTCCTGCTCGCGAATTTACATCTCCATCCCGGACCCAAAGAAGACTGACCAAGGACCGGGGATGGACGCGAAAGGTAGACAGGGGAGGAGTGACGATGCCCGTTTAGTGCCCGGGTGCGACGTGCCAATCCACGGCGTCGCTCTGCGTGGCCCTACCTGGGAGGTGCGGAGCCCCAGCACGACGCTCCGCGCTGTGCACTTCCCTCGTGGCTCCTAGAGGCAGCCTCTGAAGCCCTGTTTTTAGGCGGAGCAGGAGTACTATTGTCTCTTTATCTTAGAGCCTGCGGGGGTTGGGGTACGGGGGGGGGGGGTGTCCCCAGGGTGACAGCCAGCGCTCTCCTTTCCGTCTCCATGAACTTGTTCTCCAGAGACCATGGATCTGCTTGGGTGCCCACAGGAACCTGCGCAATGAACTTGAGTGTCCTTTAACAAGCCCTGGCCACCCAACACCAAAAAACCTCCCACAAAACCTGCGAAAAATCACCGCTCACTCAGAGGCATGCGGTAGAGCACTGCTTTGACTCTTCCTTTACCGAGTCACAGTTGATCACCTACCCGCTTGCTACAGGCCCCAAGCGGCCGCAGACTCAGCTTCTTGTTACAGTAGTCGCTTCCTTGCCCAGCAATTCGACCCTCGCGTTCTGCATGGGGATGTGGCTCCGTCAGTAGCCGCCCAGAATTCCTGCAGTGTGCAAGCTGCAGCACACAGGCGCGCCAGGCTTGTACTCCAGATACCCACCCCCACCCCAGTAAATCTCTAGAGTTGAGGGAAGCAAGGCTTGCAGGAAGCCGCTCCGGATGTTTGCTTCTTTACATGTGGCATTTGTGGCTGGCTTTGATAAGGTCGTGAGCTCCGTTTCCAACACTCATTTAGTGAAGAAACTGAAATATGGTCTACACACACTGCGGGCGGGTCTGCGGTGCGGTCGCCCCCAACACTCCTCTAAAATATCTGTCAAGAGAATGGTCAGCAGAAGTTAGATCTAGGTAAGAGGATGGGAAGGGGGCCAGTTTCGGGAAAGCGCCACATTTACCGAAAGATTTGCTAAGTAAAGTGCTACCTTGGGACTCCAAGGGAGGTAGGTAATGGGGAAGAAAAGCCAAAACGTGGACGCTCCGACTCCTAGTGCCTTGGGCTTTCTCTCAGACAGATGAGTAATCTCCAGGAACGAGAGCAAATAACGGTGGGGCGCCCTTGGGCTTTCTTTCCCACCACTTTCTCGGTATTCCAGGTTCCCTTCACCGAGCGAGAACAGGAGGGACCCAGGTAAATTTGTGCAAATACATTTTCTAGACTTACTCTTGAATTAACTTTCGGAGAAATCAGTCAACAGAGAAGACAGAGAAATGCGTTTCTGGACCCGGTACTGTTTTCAATCTTCATTCCAAACAAAACCCTTGGTTTATAAAAGATTTCACAGAAAGAGAAAATTCAGTCCTGAGATCTTTGAAAAGATGTCTGTTAAGAGTCCACTGTGGAGGTCAGGGACTGTGATACTGCGGATGGGAGGCAGGAGGATTACATAGGGAGACCCTCTTTCAAAACAAATAACAAAAAAGAATTTTTCTTAAGAGCACCTGGCTAGGGGATTAATTTGTAATATTGTTCTCTACCCCTATGGTTTCCTTACTTACACATTTGCAATGCAATTTTGTTTTACTTTCAAGCCAATATGCTTTTCAGAAAAACATAAAGCCTTGAGGAAAAGCACATCATCAGTTAAATTTAAGACCAATGACTTTCTGATCACCAATTAAAAATAACGTTTTCTCTAATATCTTGAGGCCGATTTGCCCCCTCCCCTTTCGTAAGAACTTTCCAGACCTGGAGCTTCGAGGACTGCCACTGTTGCTGCGGCATGGCTACCAGCTGTAAACGGGATGGAGATTCACCGTTGCTTTACAACATAACACATTAAAGAAAAACTGGCTTTCATACCCAGAGTTCTTTGTAGAAAAAGTAATTCCAGAAACTGCAGGCCAGGAGTTAGCAAAAGCTCCGTGCTTTTTGGGACCTGCAGGAAGCCAGACTTGTTCTCTGAAACAACACTCAAGAAAGCCTCAATCAGTTCTCCCCACAGACACACGCAGGACCACCCCAGGCGGAGGAGTAAGTGATCCTTTTCAACTAGCCCTTCATAGCAAACAAAATCTGTTTTGGAAACTACTATGTTGAGTCCCCTTCCTCCCTCCCTCGCTCCCTCCTTTCCTCCCTCTCTCTTTCTTTCCAGAGAGAATTGCATTTAGCTCAGGCTGGCCTCTAACTCCACTTGTAGCTGAGGGTGATATTGAACTTATCTTTCTGCCTCCACTTCTCAAGTGCTCCATTACAGAATCATAGCCATCACATAGACTTTCTCCAGCTTGGTGAGTCCCCTGTCCTTGAATTTTCCTTCCTTGAAATTATGCAAGAATGACTATGTTGGTTCTCTTAGAAAACAACACCAATATGCAAACTAACACACATACAACTATGAACTTGTATACTTTTGGAGCTTCTGGTCTGAAGGCCATCTGCTAGTTGTGAGTAACATCCTCCCAATGCATGTACTAGCCTCAAGTCTATTTCCTCTCCTGGTAGCTATAGCCCTACCCACTCAAAAGACTGGTTGGGGGCTAAACTAGTTTGCTAAGGTTCAGAGGGTGCTGAGTGAGTAGCTGCTGGGATAATCACTCTAGACCGGCATGTTTAGAAGCCCATAGAAAAGCACTTTCAGGTCTGGAATAAAGGGCACTGGCGGTTTTCTTTCCAGGGTTAAGAAATATATAGAAATGCTGTAACCATCTGTCAGGGTATGGATTTTGCTGCTTAAATGGGCTGACCCTTTTCCTCCAACGAACATCACAGTGCTGCTGTCTTTGCATTTTATTTTTGTGGTGTTTGGGATGGAACCATGACCTCTTATAAGTCTTTAGAAATAATACCAAGTCTTGCCTCTTTTACTGAACACACATCAGCAGTTTTTGTTATATGTATTTTATGTTTAATACAGAAATTCCCAAGCGTTGACTTGAACTTTTAATTCATTGAGTAGTGAAATGTCGGTGATGTACATTTTATATTAAACTTTGGTTTTAAAAAATACAATTTACCTTCGGCATTTTTAATATAATGTAAGCATGATGAGTTCTCGGGAGAACAACAGTATTTTTTTCCCCCTGAAAAACCATATGAAGGTAATTGCCTCCAGTAATTTTTTTAAATTGGAATGGATACCTAGTATGTTAATGTGAACTATCTTGTGACTAGTACTTCAATATTCCGGTACAGTGAGCACCCATAGACAGCTGAATTTCAGCAGTCCCATTTCCCAAGACGGAGAGGACTTGGCGCCAGAGCCTGGCTCCAGCCAGTTTTTCCCCCCGGCAGGTGTAGTCCTAGTGCTCCTTCGGGGGAGGGGAAAAGGGCGGGTGCGGGGTTGAACTGGGACTTGGGACTCGGACCACCGACTGGGCGGGGGCCTACGGACTAGGGTCCGGCCCGCCCCCGCCGCGCCATTGGCCGCATCTATAAAGAAAAGGGCCGGCGGCTGGGGGGACACTCTCAGTGTCACCGGTGAGTTAGACGTAGCCCGGAGAGCAGCGGGAGGTTCGAGCCGGCGCGGACTTGGCGCGTCCCTCTGGGCATCCCTAGGCTAGCTCCCCATTCCTGTCTCGAAGTCGGGGAAAGCGGCGTGTCCGGTGGCAGGTAGCGGAGCGCGGGGTCGGTCTGGAGCGCCATGAGCAGCCCGGATGCGGGATACGCCAGTGACGACCAGAGCCAGCCCCGGAGCGCGCTGCCCGCGGTGATGGCCGGGTTGGGCCCCTGCCCCTGGGCCGAGTCCCTGAGCCCCCTCGGGGACGTAAAGGTGAAAGGCGAAGTGGTGGCGAGTAGCGGACCGCCAGCCGGGACCTCGAGTCGAGCCAAGACTGAGTCTCGCATCCGGCGGCCGATGAACGCCTTTATGGTGTGGGCCAAAGACGAGCGCAAGCGGCTGGCACAGCAGAACCCGGATCTGCACAACGCAGAGCTGAGCAAGATGCTAGGTGAGTCGGAGCGGGGGTGGGATCCAGGCCACCCTGCGCGCACCAGCGAATCGGGTAGCCACTTCCTAAAGCCAAAAGGTGTTTTTTCCTTGTCTTGCGCCCGACAGAACCGGTGTGCTGTAGACTCTGTCCCTTCAGCTCCCGGTCTCACCAAAGCACCATTTGGCTTTGGTCTTTGGGGCCCACGAGCAAATACAAGGGTTTCTCAGCGCTTCAGAGAGGCGACCAGGACATGCCTGGTCCGACCCCTTCACAGCCCAGGGGACTTTGCCAGTTTTTCGAATTAAGGGGAGATAAGTAAGGGAGGAAGCCTCTTCTAAGAGGCCTTGAAGGAAACCCGAGACTTTCATCTCGAGATTTTCATCCTAATTCGACTCTGCTCCTGGCCGGCTCGCCCAGTTGAAGATTGTACGAGAGAGGGGCCTGGGCGCTGGGACTCAGGCGGGTAACTCCACTTTCCCTGCAGGCAAGTCCTGGAAGGCATTGACGTTGGCGGAGAAGCGGCCCTTCGTGGAGGAGGCCGAGCGGCTGCGCGTGCAGCACATGCAGGATCACCCCAACTACAAGTACCGGCCGCGGCGGCGCAAGCAGGTGAAGCGCATGAAGCGGGTGGAGGGAGGCTTCCTGCACGCTCTGGCCGAGCCTCAGGCCGGCGCGCTGGGCCCCGAGGGCGGTCGCGTGGCCATGGACGGCCTGGGCCTGCCTTTCCCGGAGCCGGGGTTCGCGGCCGGCCCGCCGCTTCTGCCCCCGCACATGGGCGCCCACTACCGCGACTGCCAGGGCCTAGGCGCCCCTGCGCTCGACGGCTACACTCTGCCCACTCCGGACACATCCCCGCTGGATGGCGTGGAGCAGGACCCGGCCTTCTTCGCTGCCCCGCTGCCGGGAGACTGCCCGGCGGCCAGCGCTTACACTTACGCGCAGGTCTCGGACTACACGGTGCCCGCCGAGCCGCCCGCTGGCCCCATGCGAGTGGGGCCAGAACCCTCGGGTCCCGCGATGCCGGGGATCCTGGCGCCCCCCAGCGCCCTGCACCTGTACTACGGCGCCATGGGCTCCCCCGCCGCAAGCGCGGGGCGCGGTTTCCACGCGCAGCCCCAGCAGCAGCTGCAACCTCAAGCACCTCCGCAGCCGCCGCCGCAGCACCCGGCGCACGGCCCGGGACAGCCTTCACCCCCTCCTGAGGCTCTGCCCTGCCGGGATGGCACGGACCCCAACCAGACCACCGAGCTCCTAGGGGAGATGGACCGCACGGAATTCGAACAGTATCTGCACTTTGTGTATAAGCCCGAGATGGGTCTTCCCTACCAGGGACACGACTGCAGTGTGAACCTCTCGGACAGCCACGGAGCCATTTCCTCCGTGGTGTCCGACGCTAGCTCGGCTGTCTACTACTGCAACTACCCTGACATGTGACGGTTGCCCACCCGACCTGCGGGCCAGAAGCAGTGTTACACACTTCCTGGAAGCGCTAAGGAAATCCTTAGCGTCAAGCTGTTTTGTTTTTAAGTTGCCTTGGCATATAATTTATGGTAATTTATTTTGTCTGCCACTTGAACAGTTGAGGAGCTATATGAGATTTTTTTAAAAATGTATCGAGGGACTTGTTCCCCCACACCACTGGTCCAGTTTCAACCAGTTTCTTAATATCTCACCAACTTATTACATTTCTCGGAAGTGTTTTGATCCAAAGAAATTTTGTTCTTCGTGTTTTTTTCAATCTTCGAAAATGTTTTGATGCAAAGAATTTTTGTCCTGTTTTTTTCAATTTTAAGAAAATTAAAATCTAGAATCTTTTTAAAATCAATCTATCACATTGGTTTTATAGGAAATTAATTTAAAAATACAGTGAACATTCTACAATTAGAAGTGTATAGCTAATTGTAAAATTTTCATTTTCTTATAATGGTACACCTAAATACTTTCAATAAATCTTAAATATACAGTTGAAATGTTCAGATGTGATATGATTGTTCAACTACGAAAACATTTCTCACAGAATGAACTTGCTTTGTACACTCCAAATGATATTGATTCCTAAAAATAATGTTGTAAATGTTTATAATTCTGGTTTTTTTTCAGTCATGGTCTTGAGACCTGCCTAAAGGGACTTTTCAGATATATATGTTTGTCTTTTCTTCCAAAAGTCTTGGTCCCTCCTTTCACAAAATTTGCCTTTAACCCCCACATTTTTAAGAGTCACAGGAACTAATCAAAATAAAATTTGTTTTGTGACTGTTAGTGATCTTCAGTATATATTTCAACAGTGAATTTGCTATAGCTAACAAATGTGGATGGTTGCATTCCAACATTTTGCAGGTTTCAAATTGAGGATTCCCAGGAGTTATTTGTGTGTGGTGTGCTTTACACATGTGAAGAAATAAAGCAGCCCCCGCATGCCTCCTTCACACCCCATTGTGAAGAAACAGGTACAAGGCTCCAACCATTAGCCCCTGCAAATCTGTGCTGATTGCTGCAGTACAGACTGAGACCATGGGAACTCATGGCCTGTAGTGGGCATTTCCTGTACCAGGTGTTTCCTCAGTGTCCTTCTGCACAATCTGCCTGAGCAAGCCAGTTGGGCAATATTCTCTTATTTTCCAAGTGATTTAAAAAAAAAAACAAACGCATTGCTGCCACGTTTACAAAGGTTTGGCAAAGTGGATCTCTCCTCCACCCTCCATGCTAGGGACTGAAGCCGTGGCCTCTGGCCAAGCAGGTAAAGCCGCCACCACCACCACCACCACCACCACCACCACCACCACCACCACCACCGAGCTGCAGCCCAGCCCCATTACTAGCTCTTAATGTATTTACAGTCCCTTTGTGTAGGGGGCATAGGTGGGCACTGGAATTAACATTCTGGTCAGCATGTAAAGTATGTGGTGGAGAGCTCGAAGCTGATGGATTAGACTGGGTTCTCTGGGAAATGGCAATGTACATTTTTAAAGGGGGTTCCTGATTACCAGGCATGGAAGGGTAGACAATTCCAGTGACAAGGTTGAGCCTATTTTGTTGGACATAACTAAAAGTGACTGTAATCATTAAAGGATTTCTACTTAGAAATTTAAAGTTCATCTCAGGGTGGTTCTCTAACCTATTTTTTTTTTTTTCCTTTCTGCCTCTCAGTTACTGCCATAGGCATGGAAACCAAAGTCTTGTGCCTGTTAGGCAAGTGCCCTACAACCAAGCTGCATTCCCCAGGCTGATTTTTTTTTTTTTTTTTTTTTTTTTTTTTTTTTTTTTTTTTTTTTTTTTTTTTTTTTTATACAGAGTCTTAATATGTAGCTCTCACTGTCCTGGAACTCACAATGCAGACTGCCTCCGCCTCCCAAATGCTGTGACTAAAGGTGTGTGCACTATGCCTGGCTTCCAGGCTGATTTCTCATTCAGTGCTCTTCCTTGTCCTATATTGTTTCTTTCTGTGGTCCCAGAGAGGTTGCTCTGCTTCCAGCCTAAGGTCATTTGCAGGATTTCCCAGGAGTTCTCAGTGGACTATGTAGTAAGTAGAGGGGTTGCCCAGGCTCACTTTCAAGGCCACATGGCCAGTTCAGATTTCTCTATAGACATTTTAGTGCCTTAGTCCAAAGAAACGGTGCTGAAAGCTTGGCTGCTATCTCTTAACAGAATAGAGAAGGTAAGTAGGAAACGGGGAAGGGAGAAAGGGAGATAGAGTGCTTAGGGCAAAGTCCAAAATCTGATTGAGTTACATTTTTAACCACTGCTAAGGAAGACAAGACAGCAAAAATGATTAAGACAATGTTATTATCTGGATGGAGGTCCCTTCATCCTCATAGACAACTCTTGTAGGCAGACTTAAGGCCAATTCCTTTTCTTTCCGAAAGCACTCAGGTAAAGTTAACAAAGTATCTGCTAATGATTGCCTTGCCACTGACAGTGGTCTCATTCTCCTTTCACTATTTTATGTAGGAAATACACACATCAAGGACACCCCCTCCCCCGCCAAGACCCTTTAAAAATAGAGGTGAGCACTCAGGGCAGCTTTTCTTTGGGGTCCTAAGCAGCCTTAGGCATTTGCAAATTTGGATTCACCTTAAGATGATTGGCTGAGAAAAAACAGGAATTCCTTCCTAGTAACATGGACACAAAGCACACCCCCCTAGTACTCAGGTATAATTCTGGTAGCATGTGACTCTTTGCCAGCATCCAAGGGTTGCAGAAGCCTTGGTGTTGACCAGCAAACAGCACAGACATCTCATGCATCCAAAACAAATGACAGGCTTCATATATTTGAAATTAAAGAATTGTTTCTATGTGGAGTTCTTTCTTATGACATGATTCAAGGACAGAGAAATGGATATTATTCTCTTGTGTTTAAAAGAAACCTATAATGTATGTGCAAGATGAAGATGTGAACTTTTCTTGGTGATTCTGTGATGATGATTGCTAAGTTCCAAGACTGGTCCCAAATGCCCACGCAGGTCATTTATGCTTGCGCATCATTCCTTTCCCACTTTATTGGGGTGGGATTTGTGGCTCTAACTCACTAAAAGGCGATAGAAGTGAAACTATGTCAGTTCTAGGACTGACATGTAGGAGGGCTTTTCAGATATTTCGTGTGTTCCTGGAATTCCTGGACAACTGTGTAAAAGCCTACTTACCACTTCACCAACATGGGGACCACACAGAGACAGAGAAGACAGGCCTTGGGGCTTCTCCAGCTTATTCCCACCTGACTGGAAGTGAAGCAACTGATTAGGCAAATACCCACAATAAGGGAGCTAGGACTATAGTTCACTGTCAAAGTGCTTGCCAAGCATGCACCAAGATAGATTTGATCCACATCACTGAACAAAACAATTGCAACAACAAATAAAAATCAAGCAGAAAAGTCCAGGCTTGCTACAAATGGGAATGATTTTTTTTTTTTTTTTACAGACTTTTGCAACATCTGTTGTCCTTAAATCCTTGTTTTAAATTAAAGGAATAGAGGCCTTGGTGGCAAAATCAGGAAAAGGCTTTGGGGCTCATCAGAGACATCATTATTAAAATGAAGAAGAGTGTCTTAGGGTTACTTCGCTGTGATGAAATGCATGGCAAAAAGCAAGTTGGGGAGGAAAGGTTTTATTTGTTTTAAACTTCCACATCACTGTCCATCATCAAAGGAACTCGAACAGGACAGGAACCCGGAGGCAGAAGCTGATGCAGAGGTCATAGAGGGGTGCTGCTTAGCTAGCTCCCTGTCTTTCTTGCTCAGCCTGATTTCTAATAGGACAGGGTGACCCCACCCACAATGGGCTGGACCTTCCCACAACAATAACAAATTTAAAAAATGCTCTGGGGGCTTGCCCACATCCTGATCTTATGGAGACATTGTCTCAGTTGACGCTTTCTCCTCTCTGATAACTTTAGCTGGTGTTGAGTTGACATAAAACTAGCCAGCACAAATAGGATGTAAAATGTGAACAAAAATTGAAAACTTAATTGTGACATCCTCATATTTGTAGATTGCTACGTTCAGATGAAGGGATCCAGGCACCAGGCCAGTGATCAGTCATGGAGGTGGAACTATACTCCAGACCCTAGCTAATCATTTTTATTAAAAAAGTATATAAAATTTATTTCAACTTTTATTGTTTATCTTTGAAATAAATTCATTATGGGTAAATTGTTTTTTCCTCATCTCTATTTTTAAGTTCTTTAGAAGTGTCCTGAGGTGAGAATCCAACCTCTTCCTGTCCAGATATATCCAGACTTCAGACTGATAAGGCACCTACACACCTCTGAAAACAGTAATGATAAAGCTGTTTTCCTGTGAGGACCTAGAGTAATCTTTTTAAAGCTACCAGGTGCTAACTTGAAGTAAATTTGTAAATTGGCCGTACAAGGGGCTAAGAGATGATATAACAATGAAGTTATATCATTACCTTCATCTCACTCTGCAAACAACACCCATGTGGCCTTTAAGTCTGTGCTGGGTTAGTAAGGAAAAGCACACAGAAACAAAGGCATTCAGGGAAAGTGGAACGGAGAGCTAGGAGCCAAATATATTTACTTCATCTTAAGTTTTTACATGTTTCATTTTGTTTTAAATACTCAGAACTGTGTCTGTCACATTCAACGGCACCCCCACCCCCCCACGCACCACGTTCCACTGATTTGTTTTGACAGGGGGAGGTATTTTACAACCATTATTTCAGCACAAATTTATTCTTCCTGCTTACAAGGTGCTTCCTTCTGGGTCCAGAAGATTCCTCTGAAGAAAAACCGGCTTGAATGTCCTGGCTTGGAGAAGGATGAGGGATGGGTTCCTCCCACGTAATGAGCCTGTGACCCACTCGGTATTTCATTAGATCTCTGGCCTGAGGTCTAGCTGTATTTCCTCCATGTTTCACTATAGTATTTTTTTCTGCTCTTCTAAATAAGAAGGTTGCTGTGTGCCCTTTTCTCCCCCTGGATAACCAAGCAGCTTTGATTTCAAACTACATGGTGTCTCATACACAAACTCAGCATTCCCACCTTCTAACTTCATTAAGAATATTAAAAAATTACCATGTCCAAGTATTTAGTATATAGTAAGTCCAAACATAATGTGATTAATAATGGTGTTCCTTATTGTAGAGTTCTTAGTCGCTCCAAGCAAAAACAATTTGATTGAATACAAGAATAAAAGTTAATTCTTGGGCATTAAAATGGTTCAATAGGTAATGGTTCTTGCCGCCAATACTGACAACCCGAGTTCAGTCTCTGCAACCCATGTGGTGAAAGTAAAGAACTGACTCCTGCAGGTTGTTCTTTGATCTCCATAGACACTTTGTGGCTGGCACACACACACACACACACACACACACACACACACACACGTGCACACGCACACACATGCACACGCACACGCACACGCACACAAACACTCACACCAGAGAGACTGAGTGAGAGAATAATAAATCATTGTAAGAATAAAACAAAATTAAATTATTCTTGCTTAAAAAGCTACCTTTGGGACAGCTAGGGTTGTTACACAGAGAAACCTTGTCTCAACCCCCTCACCCCAAAAGGAAGCTACCTTTGAAGATTTTATTTCTACTTTAACTGATGTCTTATTAAACATTTTACCAAAATGATTTCAAAAGGAACATTCACCAAATCAATGCTACTGAAGATGATGGTCTGCATGAAGAGTCACAGAAGGCGAGCAGGAAGGCAGTGAGGTCGTTAGTACTCAGCTTCCTTGCAAAGCACTGGAGAAACCCCGAGAAAAGCACACTAGTGGATGTAGTTTC